CGGGTGCATAAGCTGCTGAGCATTTTAAATCCACCATGATCAATACATGCTACCAGTATCTGAAGCACAATCCTCTCATGAAATTGCAGGCAGCAATGACCATCGATTTTAGCATGTAGAATAAGTGAGGGTCAAAAAACATTTACAAGTAATCTAAATGGCGGATAGATCTGCGAGTGCTGCAGCATATGCCACCTATGTTCCAATAGTAGTCACACGCATCCTTTGTCTGTCCTATGTAAACCAGAGTGACCACCATATCCGGACACGGACGACACTAACCATACAAAGGCGGATGGAATGAAAGAAGCGTTTGTCGAACTGATTTGAATGAGCATGTGTACAAGTGTGATCAACTTCGTCTAATAGGCAGAAGCACAAACGCGGTAATGCTCGCACGCAAGCCTACCGCACTTATTCTATAACAATTCTTTCGCGTTTTCTGCAAAGCCTCAACTATGTTTCTTGAACTAACTATTCATTTCGAGTATGATATAGTTTCTGTCCGTTCTTTCTCAAACCGATTTATGTCACCATTCTGCAATTGTTTCTACTCTGGGACCTGTCGGTTGTGGTGTGTGTTGTACCAGAATATTCACATGCCAAACTTGCTAACAGCAGTTTTCCCCTGACATGAGTGGACTGCATATGTTTAAAGTTTGCGGATTTATCATAGATTCCTGATTTTCACTCTAATGCGAGGTAATTTAGGATGGTCGGATAAATGCAGAAGTATGTGTTACCACAACCCTACATTTCGTCTTGATTCCTTAAACGGGGCATTCTGGCGCGTTTAGTTTCTGCATAACATTGAATGTCCGCCTAATCCTGCCTCCTGTTAGCATGACTTCAAACTGGTGTAGACTCCTTTTAAATGTTAGATTTTCCAACGACTTACTCAATTATGATGCTGTACTTGGAGCTTTAATGCGAACATGATCAATTGAGAATTTTCAGAGAGCAAATCTTAAACTTTCCGAGTCCAAAAATTGAACGCGTTCAGTGAATATGTGCTGAACCGGCGCCTGGTAACTTCATTCAAACAAGATGCCGTGGACAAAACATCGCTCACTTAGTAGAATAGACCGTGCTTATTGACGAATTTTAATAGCAAACCGAACTAATAATTGAATTTCAGATTCATATGCATGGACGACAGAATGTAAAATTACATTTTTGGATAAAGCTCGTATTTAATTATGCGGTGCTGCATGATTTATATCCCTTTGCTTATTCGAAGTTTGCTGAGCTGTTAACAACGAAGGCAGCAGCCCCAGTAAGTCGTAGACGCAGCAGCGATTTTAGGATATGCGGAAGCTAAGGAAACAAGAGCCCCAATAGGGCGAAACGCGTCTGGCGCTTTTCCGGACTAGGCTCTGCTATGTAGCTTGTGAACTGTTGGGATGAAAGCCTTATCAGAGTTACAACTTAAAGCCTGCTACTTATGAGTACTATAAACAAGAATTTCTCGAATGTTTGTACACACGAATTGGAATGCGTGGTCCTTTCTAAACCAGCTGTACAATCAAGATCAGATGATTTACGTTTCTGCAATTAACGCAATGTATTGTCTTCCGCTTGGCCCTCACTTAGGATTATTTTTGTCCGCCACAGGAAAACCAGCGAAATCCAGCCGTAGTTTTCGCCATACTCTGATTATTGTTCGCCTTATCATGTCAGAACACTCGTCATAGAAGTCAGACCAATTATGTACTTGCTCAGCTGGCCTTAGAAAATTTGTGTACAGCAACGAAAATTAGCTTAAAAATACAGCCCCCGGTTTGTCGCTAACCAACCCGAAAGCAAGAAATTTGTTGTTTATAATATGCATTACAATGTATATAACACCTCTTGTACGCTTGCTATTTTATAATGTAAATACTTTTAACTTATATAACCGTCCTATCTACAACTGAGAGCAACATTATGTACTGGTGTTTAACCAGGAACTAGTTGCTTTATTCTCCTCACAAATTGATTAATTCGTAATATTGTACTGCGGCTCCCTCAGCTAAATATTTTCCGAAATTCTAACATTGTCCCCATCGTTTCTGCATTTAACCGACCAAAATCATACATTGCAATTCAGCGATTGCAATGACGGGTTCCAGATTTGAATTTTCGTCTTTAGAAAACTCGTACATTTAGCTGTACCAGGCTGTCACGCCGCACAGTTTGATTGCATAACAGGATCGATGAATTTTACGCTGACATATGTAACATGCTTGCTTAATTTTTACAGTAACCATATAGTACCCCCTTCACACATTTCTTCTTCTTCTACCTACTTCATTATTTCAATGTTGGTCATGAATGGGATGATCTCCTGTGGTGACGTATTATAACTTCCAGATTATAACAGGCTTTACCTATGCAAGGCAAATTGTCACCAACTGAGTGGCGTAGAAATTGCCATAATTGAACGACCCGTATGACTGAGGATTAATCGCCCATAATACTTCTATAAAAGAAGCCCATAAAAGAAAATAATACCATGAACATTTGATGGCGTATATGCTACTATGCTACACCGGCACACGGCCAGGTATAGAATGGGCGTGCGCAGAATATATTTCGAGGGAATAACTTGCATAGAAACAGGTCCCCTGGGGACGGTTCCACGAATGGCCGTATTAGTTTACCTAGACATTTGTTTAAATCTGCATTTGTCATTATTCCTGGATTTTAATAAATACAACCTGCCAAGTAATTAAATACCGGTTTTGGGTCCATTGTAATATGCGGGAACAAATTGGTTATATTTGCGATCCTGCTTTACACGTTGATCGGACTACATAGTTTTACTGCATCTCGTATCGCCAAGGAATATACCATTTATTTATTTTATCTAAACTGATAACTTATTATTTTATCAGTTCCGCTTTCGCTAATCTTATCGTAGAGGAAGAAGGCCTTGGCCTAGTTCCTAATCTAAATATTCAGTTGTTTAATGTACTTAAGTTACTTACCCAAACTTCTCGTCGCGTCCACGAGATCATTCTTTAACCTAATGCTCCGAATGATTAGCCTAATACAATTATGTCATATGACACCTTTTTTGATACTGTGTTGTGACATTTCCCATTTGTCAGACCATCTAATCATCCATACTTCTTAAATACAACTGGAAACAGCAATCAAAATGCCGGTCCACAAAGAGAACAGCTGTGAACTAGAAAGCGTAAGCCAGTTATACTTTTGTACACCTAGCTACTGAAAACCCGATCGAAGAGGGTTTATCAGGCTTAACCTGGTCGTCAATTAGCTAAAACAAATATTAAGGTTTTAAATAGCATTAAGTGATATTGAAACATGAAAAATGCTGTAAAATAGCTTCACACATGATTTGGTGTCCGTGAGACATTCAAGTTCTGCAATATACACATTGTACAGCCTACTCGGATAGAGCCAGTAACGGCATCGCCATCGAGTTTCACTTGCTTTACGGGATACACGGCAGTTTGATTATGCAATATTCCAAACTTGCACCTACTGATAAACTAGTACGCACACCATCTCTTTCGTTCAACACACACCTTAGTTGCAACGAGGTTTTAGCACAAACATTCTTCCATAAACCAGTTAATGATGCAGGTTTTGCTGAATACGAAACTTTATGTTCAATCCCAAACTAACACGACTAGAAAGAGGTTAGCAGACGATTAAAACAGAGATATGTCCTAATGAGATATAAAGAAGCCTTTTTCTAAACTACGATTACAAACCAAGGATTGCTCGCCCAAAAGACTGATCAAGATATGTTTCTCCTTTTTGTATACGGGTTTGCCAAAGGAGCCTTTTCTTGTTTAGAGAGTGTACAGGAAATTAGAAAGTTCAACGAAGCTTCCCTGAGAACTGCCACGCATACCAGCCAGTTGAATAAAGAATCAACTGCGTCTAAGCACAAGTTATCAATAAATGAATGGGCGCAATTCATATAAAAGCAATTAATTTAGGGGACCATTCATTGACACATCCAAGTAATTAAAAAAAGAATAAGCCTAATGGTTATCTTCCCGGTAAATTAGCTAATGTCCCAACAAAGTGTGTTTTACATTTGCTTGTTTTAAGCATACATATAGATTGAGACAAAACTGACATCCAATGCAAGTGAAGAGGTGTCGCGACGGGGTCAGCAGAAGCAGAAACGTTACATCTACAAAATTTATTAGCAAAATTGCATAGAATCAGACAGGGTTCAGAGAGGACGGATGCACGTCTGATAAAATCACTGTCATGAACGTAGTTGGTGATACACCGCTTAGCAAACTCATGCCGTCTGTAGTTAAGAAAAGGCGCGAAGATTTCGCTTCACTCGTGATCGTTGAAAAAATCGTGTTTGTTGGTTGCAAGTCCACGTAATTTTGCTTCCTGCTTGATATGGCGTGTCTCGATCCATGCGGGAATGAAAGTTTTATATACCTTTGTAATGTGTTTAATTCACTAATATGAGCTTTAACGCGTTCTAATTGAATAAGGTTTTCCACCCCAATACCTATACATATATATATTTGGATAAAGTAACTAGCAGCGGCGATGTACAACAGAAATCGTTAGGAATTATCATTATGCCTGTTGCGCAAATCAATACCTGTTGTTAGCTAATTTACTCTGCAAATATAAAGTCAACCATCTGGCTGAAGCAATTTAACAAGGGGGTAATATTTGGATGCACCTACAAAAGTAATTTTAGCTCTCCTTGTATTCAAACAAACCAAGTCTCCGTTGAATAAAGGCTAATCCACTTTACGTGTTCATTTAATGTGACGTGTTAGCAGAATAGAAAATATCGGTAGAATTCTAGGGCCACCACGGTTGCACAACTCATCAGTTCGGGCGCATGCGTTTGTTCAGCAGCGTCAAATAGCCAGTTTTATTCCATCAAGGATTGCAAGCCATCTCCTCAAGATAGGAGTACCATGGTTTGACCTTCATGTTTTGTAAGCTACCCCTGTTCGTTTCGATCATTTATATTATATACTAATGCATCATATTATCAAATGGAGTCTCAGGAGGCATATTACCCTATCGCTGTCCTGATCGAGGAGCTGCGAAATGAGGATGTGCACCTACGATTGAATAGCATACGACAGTTGAAAACAATCGCCTTGACATTAGGTCCAGAGAAGACACGTTCACAGTTGATTCCGTTTCTCAGTGAAACGGTGTGTGATGAGGACGAAGTTCTTTTTGCTTTGGCAGAACAGTTGGGGTCCCTTGTACCTTACGTTGGTGGTCCGGAACATGCTGATTCTCTTTTACCTCCACTTGAGAGTCTTGCTGCGGTACGTACATTCGTTTACTATATATTGACTAATTAATGTTTCTGTACTCATCGCTAAACCCGAAACGAGTCACTGTGACACACTGCTGACATCTTGTTCCTTTTGGCGTCGCATTCTTACTTCTCTAAAATGAAGTGTTATCGTGCGCGCACAATACGTCAAACACCGTCTGTTCTGGTGGGCTTAACAGGTTGTTGACATTCTAACGCGAAGTAGAACCAGTTGGAATTTCACACTATTTGCCGCTATGTTTTGTCGGCTGTTTTCACCCCGTTTACACATTTTAAGCTAAATGGTTCAACGATAGTCCTACCAAAAACCCTATGCTTTTGTGCCGTTTGGTTATGTAAGCAGTCTCACGTTCGTTCGCTTAGGCACCCTTTAGAAAAACATGTTGGATCCACTGTGCTACTGCTGCTTGGTTTTGAACCTGAGGGATCATCACTCTATTTTTATGGTTCGGTCTTACCCAGTGCACTCTGATGGATGACCTTCTGAACTGCACTGGCTGCTATTGTACGTCTATTTTGCAGACCGAATCCTTCACGGTAATTAGGTTTTCGCACCATACCAGTCTTGTTGGCTAACCACCCTTTTACTATTACTCTGGGGTTATAACCACATTTTTAACGCTTAATCTTGTAACCTTGAGACTTACAAAGCGGTTCCTTTATTTCGTCTGTCTATCGCGTCATCTCATTGCCCCACTGTGATACTTTGGGTAGTTCCGTTGATCCGAAATGACAACTTGGTATTTAGTTATTTGGAGCACGCCGCCGATATTGCCCTCATCTATGACAGCTTTCAAACGTATCAAGTAGCACTGGATAAATTAGCATTGGTTGTCAGTCGTTTCGGACTATGCTTTGCACCCCCGAAGTGCAAAGTCCTCCAAAATTGGCAGGGATCCATCCCTGCGTTGAACCTTGGTAGTGATCAGCTAGGAGTCCTCGAGACATTCAAGTATCTGGGCAGCTATATCAGCGCCGGTGGAATGGAAGATGAGATCACAAACTGCATGACAAAAGTACGAGACACTTTCATCAATCTCCGCCTACTTGTGGCTCCGGCACGACATCACTCTCGCCATATATAACTGGGTTCACAATGCAGCCGTGCGTTCAACTCTACTGTACAGTTGCGAAACCTGACCCATCAGGTCGACAGACACAAAGAGGCTCATTACGTTCGATCATCGCCGCCTTTGCAGTTTTGCTCATGTCTGGTGGGAGCAATGCGTGAGTAATAAGCCTGTTCGGCGTCGCGTATTTGATGCACGAGGATTGAGTGCACCATTCAGCACCATCATTTCAAACGCCAGGCTCGGGTGTCTAGGCCACGTGTTGTGCATGCCAGACCACCGACTCCCATGACGTGCGTTGTTTGCGCGCCGGGGCTGTGGATAGAAGGAGAGGAGGGGTGTCCAAGCGATGACTTGGTCAAGAGGAGTTAAATCCCTCACTTTGAAGTTGGCGTCGATGGGTATCTCCCGACGGCCGGGCTGGGGACTGAAAGAGGATGAACACGTCTGGTTGGATACACTTGTTGATATGGCAAGAAGCCGACCTCAGTGGCGTTTGTGTCGTGAGTTTCTCAGTCCCATTCCAATCCGCTTATTTTCGTACTCCAACCACGGTATATATCTTGACGCAAAATATGTTATTAAATACTGTTCTATTGCATTCTCTAAAGTTCAGTATCTTGCTTTTTTCGTATGTCTTTATGCTTTGCGGCACAATAATTGAGGTGTGTTTCTCACCTTCAGCTAATGTGTGATGATATTTAGCGAATAAAACTATTTGATCACTTACTGGAAAGTAGACAATTTTGCATTTGAAACGCTGCACACTTTTGAACCGTCGCAAAGCGACTAGTTCAGTTTAGTTCAGTTAAATAACTATTATCCGGGCACCAAATGCGGTGGCACAATAGCGTAGGTGTTTTCCCCACCTCTAGCTGACGTGTGTAATGATGGTGAAATGCGGTGGACCCAGTTGCCACGATTCGCCTCACCGGGATAACAATAACTAGCAATGGTGAGTACAAGACGAGCACAAAGAAAGAGTTAGGAAGAAGGCTGTTGAACTAATCGGGATGAAATGTTAACAGCTGGAAGCAAGAAACCGAATGCGGGCGCGCTATTGACTAAGCGACTGTACCGTGTCTGGTTGAGTGTCCAGCCACTGATGTGGACCATCCCGGTGCCCCCATCCACGAAGACGGCATGCACCAATCTGAATAAATCTTTCGGTCGATTTCTTCATGCCTTTGTACCACCTCATTGACTGGCCACTTCGCGTTTTCACACAACCAAATTAGCCGACGGCGTATACTGTATACCGAGGAAGGCATACGGGCATACGGTGGACAGCAACGGTTAGGCTTTTGTAAGTACTCCAGTGAGATACCAGAGGGTTTCTTGCCAGCAACCTCAGCATTGCTTGCCCAGTGTTTTCACCAGATGTGAGGAATAGTCCGCATGCACTGGTGATCAAAGTCGATCAATAGTTTAAAGTCCTACGTGCGAACTGGTCCGGTCTCTGACCCATACAACTGCACCGGCCTTATCGCACCATTATATATCCATTTTTTGACTGTTAGGCTGATATCACACCGTCTTTATAGATGTTTGGTTTTCCTTTAAGCCGCATGTACTCTGGTGATGCGCGACTTAACCTCAGTAATATGAACACCAGAAGTGACAATTACTACCATTTCTAGTGCCTGTTCGCCGGTAGCAAGGATCGGCGGTGTATCGGTCCAGCATTGTAACAATACTTTGCATTTTCAAGATGCAAAGTAAATACCGAAGCGTGCGATGCTACGCATCAGTCTGTTCTATAGTGCTAGCATAGCCATCTCGTCAAACCCAAGGAGAGCTATGTCGTCCGCGTACTCAAGATTGTCACTTATCTGGCATAAGTTCCATTCCAGCACAGGCTGACATGGCACAGTCGTCTGTGGTCATTTCGATTGGAGCGTTGAGGAAGGGACAAGGTGTAGGACAACACTCAATCCCCATTTGTCGTAAAGAGTACAGAAGACAAGGACTCATACTCGGCTTCGGGGGTCCGCGATAGAAATGGGTTTTTCACGCTCGCTTTTCAGGAGTAGGCAATGCTACAGGCTGGCACGATCTACAGAGTGACAGGCGACTTTCAAGTCAAGAATACCACCATAGTCGGTTGTATGTAGTTGTCTGCTTTAACGCTGGACGGCTCCCACGAGATACAGAAAGTTGTCGAAGAATAATACACACGAAAAGTTTAGAGAGAAATGCCTCAAAGATTTTGCCCACGTGGAAGAGAGCTACAATTGAAAGTCAGTCGCTGATCTGTAGGAAACTCCTCAGTGCTGTTTACTGGAGTGCTATGTTCCATTCATTAGCCTGACCCACAAGGCAGTGGGAAGCAGGTCCAGCTGGGGAATTGATTGCAGAAACAAATTGGGATATGCTTGACGGCCGGCACACGCAGGCTATTGAGCCAAAGGCTCCAGACGGAGTCCCTCAAGCAAACCAAATCGCTCACTGCTTTGTGGGCCAGGCTATTGAGCCACGGGCTTTGGGTGGAGACCCTCAAGCAAACCTCCGAAGCACAACGACTACTTCGCGTGCGATTGCTCACCAATACAATCGTATGCCTGCGCGCAAAGCACTCAGCATCGGGTGCTGGAACTTGCGTACACTACTGGACCGGAACTCCAGCGAGCGCCTGGAGCGACGCATTGCACTGTTCGGGATGGAACTGGCGGTACCACATCGATTTTGCGTCGTTCAGTGAAACCCGGCTCGTTGAGTAAGCTGCATAAAGCAGTTGCTTGCTACACATGATACTGGGTGGGCAACGCCGCCTCAACACCAGGGGAACACGAGTCGGATTTGCAAAATCCGATCGTCTCCATGGCCAGCTGGTGTTTGAAGCAACAGGCATCAACGCGCAACTGATGACTCATCATCATCATCAACAGCATCAGCATCATCATCATCAGCATCATAATCATCATCATCAGCATCACCATAATCATCATCATCATCATCATCATCATCAACAACAACAACAACAACAGTACATCAGCCATTTGAACTTATGCTTCGCTTCCATACAACCATGAGGATCTGTGAAATAGAGGATGAGAAGGGAGAGAAAATGGGGACTTACCTGAAAACTTTAATGCCCTAAGCAAACATTGAGGGTCGAGGCACAAACAGCTTGTGTAGACAACATACCGTCATAAACAGCTGGCTTTCATGCAAAGATATGCCAGCATCAGCGACTAGTGACTTTTCGCCTACGACTCGGATGAGGTACGTTTGCCACTTTTATAAGCATGTGTTATCCAATGATTTTTATACCTTTCTTCGTTTTCTGTATAGTTATGAGCAGATATATGTTGTCTTATATGGTCTATTTCTTCAGTTATTATCCGATCATGTATATTCGTCCTTTCCTGTGAGTAGACATTGACACGCTTTAATTGTTTTAATGGTATTCCTACCCCGCGAACTAATTTTGCTGTTATGAGGGTGGAGTCTTATTCACGCGCTTTTGGTCGTGATGCGTCGGTGTGGAAAGTATGTTATCTGTTCGCATGATTCATTGTATGGATTTTTTAAGTCGCTAATGTGGCCGTACACCACGGATGATACAGCGGTCTCTGTCCTATCAGTACACAACTCCGCTCAGACACCTCGCCTACAGTGAACTTCACGGGAATCGTAAATACAATCTCTCGGAGTCATGACGCTCGACGTGCCTGGTTGGTATGGATGGCACGAATATTTCGGGGTCCAGGGTGCGACCCCAATAACTGCTAGAAGTATATATTGTGTGAGTGGTAAAAATACACCTTTAGTGCTATTGCACCCACTTGCACCCGCACGCAAGACGGGTCGAATATACACACGCGTGTGCACGGAATATACTTAATAATGTGTGAGCTCGCCCAAGGAAGAGCAGGCTGTGACGCATGCACCAGTGCGTGCCTCTCCTGAATATCGTAAAGTCGTTGTGTGTGACGTTTGGTTCTTTTTTGAT